TGTATTTTTAGTAGAGACGGGGTTTCACCATGTTGACCAGGATGGTCTCGATCTCTTGACCTCGTGATCCACCCGCCTCGGCCTCCCAAAGTGCTGGGATTACAGGTATGAGCCACTGCGCCCGGCCTTTTTGTTTTGTTTTGTTTTGTTTTTTTTTGAGGAGACAGAGTCTCACTCTGTCACCCAGGCTGGAGTGCAGTGGCACGACCTCTGCTCACTGCAACCTCTGCCTCCCAGGTTCAAGCGATTCTCCTGTCTCAGCCTCCTGAGTAGCTGGGACTACAGGCACATGCCACCACACATAGCTAATTTTTGTATTTTTAGTGGAGATGGGGTTTCACCATGTTGGCTTGGCCAGGCTGGTCTTGAACTCCTGACCTCAGGTGATCTGCCCGCCTCAGCCTCCCAAAGTGCTGGGATTACAGGCCTGAGCCACTGTGCCTGGCCGCTTCCTATGTTTTTAGGTGAGCATTTGTAAGGTATGTATGCCTATAGTATATTATAGACAGGGATAGTGATTAGAAATTAGCATAAAATCTGGAATCACGGCCAGATGCAGTGGCTCATTCCTAGGAGGCTGAGGAGCTCAGGAGTTGGAGACCAGTCTGACCAACATGGTGAAACCCGTCTCTACTGAAAATACAAAAATTAGCCAGGTGCGGTGGCACGCGCCTGTAATCTCAGCTACTCAGGAGGCTGAGGCAGGAGAATTGCTTCAACCAGGGAGGCTGAGGTTGTAATAAGCTGAGATCATGCCACTGTACTCCAGCCTGGGAGACAGAGCGAGATCCAGTCTCAAAAAAAAAAAAAAAAATCTGGAATCACACCCACTTACACTTGAACTCTGGTGCAGGTCCTTAAGGAAGCAGCTGCTCTGGGCCTTGAACGCCGAGCAGAATGTCAGGTTCCCAGGAATCACGGTTACTCTCCATCAGGGAGAAACAGTGGTGGGGATTAGATCATCCAGTTCAGGAGTAAGAGCCTGGCCTGCCTGTTGCCACAGCAGCAGCAGATCCAGGAATTAAGTCGGGGTGGGATGGTGGATGCTTGCGGCTTGGAGACTCTGGGCTTCTGCTGAATGAGTTCCAGTCCACAGTAGAGCTCTTCCTTGCAGACTGATAACTTCAACGACTTTCGTCATGAAACACTGGACCAGATCAACCAGGAGCTCATCCAGGCCAAAAAGCTGCTCCAGGACATCAGTGAGGCGCGGTGTGAGGCGCTCGAGGCTCTGTCCCTGAGAAAGGAGTTCATCTGCTGGGTCCGGGAGGCTCTTGGAGGTAAATCTTTGGGGTTGCCCAGAAGCCTGGAGGCAGTTTTCAGATGGCGCACTGTGCGGCTTTCCTAAACTCTTAGGAAATACCTCCCCTTTGCCGAGTGCTATGTGAAGGGCAGAAAGACGTTGCCTGTATTCTTTTTTTTTTTTTGAGATGGAGTTTCACTCTTGTCCCCCAGGCTGGATGCAATGATGCAATCTCGGCTCTCCACAACCTCCATCTCCTGGGTTCAAGCAATTCTGCTCAGCCTCCCAAGTAGCTGAGATCACAAGCATGCATCACCATGCCCCGCTAATTTTGTACTTTTAGTAGAGATGGGGTTTCTCCATGTTGGTCAGGCTGGTCTGGAACACCTGACCTCGGCCTCCCAAAGGGCCGGGATTACAGGCGTGAGCCACAGTGCCCAGCCGCAGATGGGTACTGCTCATAGAGTTCACATAGCTACAGTATTTCCCACGTGCTGGTGTAAAAGCTACTCACCTTGCTGTGCCCTGCCACTTCAGATGCTTGCTGTAAATGGCTCGGGATCTTTTTCCTTAAAATCTTGCCCCCTTTTTCTTCCAGTAGATTTTTATTGGAGGACAAGGAGAGCTCTTGCCCAGAGTTTGTGTGTGTGTGTGTGTGTTTTTTTTTTTTGTAGATGGAGTTTCCCTCTTGTTGCCCAGGCTGGAGTGCAGTGGCGCGAATGTGATCACTGCAACCTCCGCTTCCTGGGTTCAAGTGACTCTCCTGCTTCACTCTCCAGAGTAGCTGAAATTCCAGGCACCCACCACTACACCCAGCTAATTTTTTGTGTTTTTAGTAGAGATGGGGTTTCACCATGTTGGCCAGTCTGGTCTCGAGCTCCTGACCTCAGGTGATCCACCTGCCTCGGCCTCCCAAAGTGCTGGGATTATAGGCGTGAGCTGCCATGCCTGGCTGCACAGATGTTTGTCACAACCCCTCCATTGAGGCTGTGTATTTCTTGACAGCCTCTCTAGCTTTGCGGCTAAGATGTCGTTGGCAGAGTTGCTTTGGAGGAGGGTGGGAGAGGTAAGAAAGTGGCAGAGGAGGCAGGAGAGGCACAGGCAGCGGTGCAGGTGTGCTGGGGGCCTGGGGCCGCTGCCTGGCGGGTGGCAGGTGCTGGCTGTCTTGGGAGCACTGCCGCTTTCAACAGTGGACTTCTCGGTCTACACTGATACACATCCTTCGATGAGTAATTCATCTGAAGGGCAAGGTCTGAGTGTTTCATAGCTAATTGTGAACACACGGTTTACAGCTGAGCCTCGGTTTCTTTTTGTGTAAGTGGTAATGCTGTGTGGATTGAATGAAACAAGGCACACACAAGCGGGGTACAGTGCCTGGGGCACTGAAGTTGCTCGGGAACAGCGAGATGTTGTTTAGTTGTATTAACATACGTTACAGGCTGGGCGTGGTGGCTCACGCTGGCAATAATACCAGTACTTTGGGAGGCCGAGGCAGGTGGATCACGAGATCAGGAGTTAGCCCAGCCTGGCCATCATGGAGAAACCCCATCTCTACTGAAAATACAAAAAATTAGGTGGGTGTGGTGGCAGGTGCCTGTAATCCCAGCTACGCGGGAGGCTGAGGCAGGAGAATTGCTTGAACTGGAAGGTGGAGGTTGCAGTAAGCCGAGATTGCATCATTGCCCTCCAGCCTGGGCAACAGAGAGAGACACTCTGTCTAAAAAAAAAAAAGAAAAACACTACAAAAGATTGGGTGTTTTAGACTCTTACTGAAAGCAGAAAGTGGACAGAACGTTAAAAATTCATGAACTGGCCGGGCGTGTGGTAGCTCAGACCTGTAATCCTAGCACTTTGGCTGGCCAAAGCAGACGGATCACCTGAGGTCAGGAGCTCGAGACCAACCTGACCAATTTGGAGAAACTCTGCCTCTACTAAAAATACAAAAATTAGCCATGCGTGGTGCTGCATGCCTGTAATCCCACTACTGGGGAGGCTGAGGCAGGAGAATCACTTGAACTGGGAGGTGGAGGTTGCGGTGAGCTGAGATTGTGCCATGCACTCTAGCCTGGGCAACAAGAGCCACACTCTGTCTCAAAAAAACAAAAAACAAAAAAACATGAACTATCTAACTATTTCAGCTTCAGGAAGGATTATTGCCTGAGACCGAGTCTTGTGCCATCACGGAGTAGTCCCACGCTGACCTCCCCTCTTCTCTTCCCCAGGCATCAACGAGCTGAAGGTGTTTGTGGACCTGGCCTCCATCTCAGCAGGGGAGAACGACATTGACGTGGACCGGGTGGCCTGCTTCCATGACGCCGTGCAGGGCTACGCATCCCTGCTGTATAAGCTGGACCCCAGGGTGGGCTTCAATAGATTTATGAAGCATCTGAAAGAGCTGTGGAAGGCTCTGGACAATGACCAGCACCTGCCCAGGAAACTGGTGAGTCTTATTCTGGCTCTAATGCAGATTATGTTGAATAGAGCATTGCTTAGCAACATCAGCGGAGTGACTGCAAATGGTGGCACTCCTGTACGGCAGGTTTGCACACAGCCATCTACAATGAGATTTAAAAAGCTTTCTTCAGGGGCCGGGCACCGTGGCTCATGCCTGTAATCCCAGTACTGTGGGAGGCCGAGGCAGGCGGATCATGAGGTCAAGAGATCGAGACCATCCTGGCCAACATGGTGAAACCCTGTCTCTACTAAAAATACAAAAAAATTAGCTGGGCATGGTGGTGCACGCCTGTAGTCCCAGCTACTCGGGAGGCTGAGGCGGAAGAATTGCTTTTATCCAGGAGGTGGAGGTTGCAGTGAGCCAAGATTGCGCCACTGCACTCCAGCCTGGTGACAGAGCAAGACTCTTGTCTCAAAAAAAAAAAGCTTTCTTCATAAATGGAAATTCTCCATCTTGTTACTTAGAAAGGGGGCTACAAAATTACGTGACACATAGTAATCTCTGAGGTGCAAAACAGACAAAGGAAATATGCTAACATGTTGCCAGCTTTCTTTGAATGGTTGCAGTTGTCATTTTATTCTGTTGCTTTGTGTTATTTTCCATAGTTGATATAATTTTTTATCAGAAAAATGTAAACATTTAAAATTTAGCCAGGCATGGTAGTGCCCACCTGTAAATATACCAGCTACTCCGGAGGCTGAGACAGGAGAATCAGTTGAACCCCGGAGGCGGAGGTAGCAGTGAGCTGAGATCGCACCATTGTATGCCAGCCTGGGCAACAGAGCAACACTGTCTCAAAACAGAAAAGAAAAAAATTAACATTTGATTTTAAGTAAATGACCTGTCGCAGGGTCTGAATTGACTTACACAGCTTCACTAGATACTGGGCCACCCTCAGGACAGCTGGTCCGCATGTGGGTAGAGGAGGAAATGACATGTGGAAGGGCAGGTAAAGCTGTCTTCATTTTTCTGCTAGAAACTCAGCAGAGTTTCCAAACAAAAGCCTCTGTTGTGATGTGTCCTGAGCACCTCTGATTGTACTTGGGGGCCGCAGAAGGGTGCTGAGGACTTGGGGCTCCACAGCCATTGCTTCCAGCGTTACTCCCAGAAGCGTCCTCTGCACTGGGGACCGGCAGAGTGATGGCATCTGGTGGAGGGCCAGGCAGGGAGCTGCTGATTCCCTTCCACTCCTCCGCAAACAGAAGCCATGTGCCCTGTGAGCCAGCCGGGGCCCCAGGCACTGGAGGAAACATGAGTGAACAGCCGGCGTACAAAGCGGCCATGAGCTACAGATCACATCAAGTGACACCTGGTCCGGTTGGGGCACTGCGTGGGTGACTGTGTCCAGAGTCCTGCGGAAGCATGGGGAGAAGTCTGCGCAGTAAGGCAGAGGCTGGAGGCAGACCGCAGGAGGGAGGGGGAAGACGCTCATTCCAACTCTGGCCTGTGTTCTCTCCTTCTGTCCCCGCAGTATGACTCTGCCAGGAACTTGGAGTGGCTGAAGAATGTGAAGGAGAGTCATGGGTCTGTGGAGCTCTCATCCCTGACCCTGGCCACGGCCATCAACAAAAGAGGCATCTACGTGATCCAGGCACCCAACGGTGACCAGAAGGTGAGCGGTCCCCGACCCTAGGTGCAGCTGTGGGCCATCTGCAGGCAGCAGCCAGTTCAGGGCTCCTGCCGCCAGGAAAGTAACCTCTGACCTGTGCCCTTCACAGATTTCCCCAGACACAGTTCTGCACTTGGTCCTTCCCGAGGGCCCCAGCAGCCACGAGGAGTCGCGAAAGTACTCTCTAGAGGAGCTGAAGGAGCTTTTGAACAAGCTGATGCTGATGTCTGGCAAGAAGGATCACAACAACGCAGCAGTGGAGAGGTTTCAGGAGGTGAGGATCGTCTTTGCCGCAGTGCGGAGTGGAGGGTTTTCGGGAGGTGAGGCTCGTCTTTGCAGCAGTGCGGAGTGGAGGGGTTTCGGGAGGTGAGCATCGTCTTTGCCGCAGTGTGTAGTGGAGAGATTTCAGGAGGTGAGGATCGTCTTTGCAGCAGTGCGGAGTGGAGGG